CGCCAGGCACCGCCCCCAAGCCGGCCCCGCGCGGAAGGAGGGGCGACAGCTGTCCCGGGCCGTCCTGTCCCATGCAGCCCGGCCGGTCAGGTGTCCCCAACTTGTCCCTCCTCTGAGCCTACAGCGAGGCGGGTGCCGATCTCGGTGGAGTGAGCTGGGCAGGGGAGCTGTCCATTGGGGGAGGGGTCCCTCACGCTCGGAGCCCGCCTAGGCGGGACGGATCAGTCAGAACCGCGCCCAGGTGGTGCTCGATGAGGACCCACGTCCTCTGTGGAGCCCTCGGGTCGGGACCTCCATCCCTCTTGGGGCCTGATCAGTGGAGAACCCCATTCTCCCGTGCCTCAGGGGGTCCCTTTAGTCAGGACCTCGTCCTCTAGGCAGCTGTCGCGACCCCAGTCTTCCATGTGACTCCGTACATTATGACCTCCATCCCCTACAGGGACCTCCGTCCTCCAAAGGGACCGCTCAGTAGGGATCCCCCGCCACAGGCAGTGGGGATCCGCGTCTCTCGTGGGGCCCCGGAGGACCCTCCCCAATCAGTCGGGGCGTCCATGCTCCGGACAGCCCACTGCGTTAGGACCCACTCCTCTGTGCTGCTCCGTGGTCTTGGGCGCCTTTTCTCCAGAAGCACCATCTGAGATTCCATTCCAGAAGATAAAGCCGGGAGCCAATTCTCCAGCGCGCTGGTCCCTACCCCCTGTGCGGCACGCCTCCCAAGAATGACCTAATCCATCCCAGATGGCCCCGCCCACAGATGACGTCACACGGTCGCCCCCGCCCTTCTCCGCTACGCTCCAGGCCTCTCCAGCTACTAAAGGCGCTTTCTCTTCCCTAAGAGGGTCGGGCCTGCAAAGGGCGGGACCCTGCCTGCCTTAGCCTTCGATTGGCTCAGCCCTCGCCAGCGCTGCTTCACAATTGGTCGTCTCATGTTCCTCTCCCCGCCCTCCCTAGACTTCCGCTTCCGGTTCTGTCGGACGCTTCGGCTGTAAAGATGATCGGAGACATCCTGCTCTTCGGGTAATTAAGGGGACTAGAGGCCGGGGAAGTAGGGCCCGACAGGGTTGGGGGCGGCCTAGGTAACCACATTCTTCCTCCGCAGAACGCTGCTGATGAACGCCGGAGCGGTGCTTAACTTTAAGCTGTGAGTAGGCCGCAGAGGACCGCTGCTCCACCCGGGCACCCGTAGCCCGCCCCGGCGAGCGTGAGCCAGCCCCACGTCACAGGCCCTGCACCCAAGTCCCAGCCAAACCTCTGTACCGGTTTGCAGCCTAGTCCTTGCCCCTGAGACTCTTCGCGCCACTGCGGCTTGAAATCTTGGCTCTCCGTTCTCCGGGCATCCCTCTGCTCGCACCCCGAAGGCCCCCAAGCCCATCCCCCAAGAGACTCTTAGTCCTAACCTGTACCCACGGGTTACTTTCTCCACTTTGTCGATGGCTGTAATTGGTTGGGCAGGTGGGCGCCTAGGGAGGGTCATTGAACCGCCGAGGTCACACTGCAAGTCAGCGATAGAGCAGAATGGCCCTTTGATGCCAGGGACTGAGAGGTCCTTGCATCCTATCGAAAGTGGACACTGACTGCTTCTCTTTGTAGGAAAAAGAAGGACTCGCATGGCTTTGGGGAGGAGTCCAGGGAGCCTAGCACAGGTAAAGCCTCCTTTCTGGACTCGGGAATTGGTCCAGAGTGTGTGTGTGTGTGTGTGTGTGTATGTGTGTGTCTGTGTGTGTGAGAGAGAGAGAGAGAGGCACAAGGATGTGATGTTCCTCTTGCCCACTTGTCACCCACTTCTTTTACCTTCCAGATCTCCGCGCATAGGTCAGCACTCTTATTACTTCCTACAGTTATTATTTTTCCTTATATGTATTTTGTCATCTGGCTAATTTCTACCCCTCACACTTGACTTTAAAGCTCCAGAGAAGAGACTCCATCTTATTTAGCTCGTTCCTGCTGTGTGCTTATTTAGTATTTCCCCCCACCCCTCCCCTGTGAACTCCTTAGGGCAGGGACACCTGTCTGTTCTTCCCTGTGTCTCCCACACCAGGCGCCTACCTGGAACCAGCCTTAATCAGCATCTGTCGTCAGGAGAGCCCATTTACATGATCCTCAGTTTAGAGAAGGGCCTTGCCAAGCGGTGCCTCTCGGACATCCTTTGGACAGACCGGTCTCTGTCAGTTGAAGACCATGCTAGGTCACATAGGCTGTGCCACACACGACCAACTACATGTGGTGGATAATACTGGCTAACGAGACTGTGTGCTGATCCTGCATTAGGATGGCACAGCAGTACCAGTAACAGGTGACTGTCGTGCTGGGTTGTTGCGAAAAGAGCTCCTACCTGGTATTTTGTATTTACCAGAGAGCTGTGATCTCCAGATGACACTTTGGGTTGCACCCTTGTAGGTCGCCTAACCTGGACCAGTTCATTTCATTCTGGAGGCTGGGGTTGGGGGTGGGTGAGGAAAAATGACTCAAAACCCAAGAGGAAGGTTCTGGAACACAGGTCTCTGGAGTCTTAATGTACCAAATGGCCTCCTCTTGGCGTGGTTTCTGTTCCTTGGCGGCAGAGGGAACTAGAGTAAGTCGTCACCAAAGCAGAACTGCTGTTATACTTGCCCAAATTAGTATGCTTTTCGTTGCAAGCACTAAAATCCCATCTCAGAGTGGTAAAAGCAAATTGAAACACCCAAGGACAGAATTGTCTTCAGGCACACCTGATTTAGCCCTCCAGCATGTGGCTGTCTCTAGCTCTCCTTTCCTTTCTAGGTTGGTTTTATCATCAGGCTGGCTTGTGTTGGCAAAGATGACCCTAGAGCAGGGCTTGGCCCATTTTTCTGTAAAGGGCCAGATTATAAATACTTTTGGCTTTGCAGGCCATGCCATCTCTGGTGCAACAATTAAACTCTGCCATTGAAATAGGAAAGCAGCCATGGGCAATATGTAAACGAATGGTCATAGCTTTGTTCAATAAAACTTTATTTGTTGACACTGAAATTTGAATTTCATGTAAGTTTTATATCTCACCAAATACTCTATTACTTTTTTTTTAACTATTAAGAAATAGGAAAAACATTCTTAGCTCCTGGGTCACACAGAAACAGGTGGCAGGGGCTGGTTTCAGTTCCTGAGCCTAAGTTGCCAATGCCTGTCCTAGAGGACACTGCTTCTATATTTCCAACCCAGCCCAGGGAGCCTGGGAGAAAACAGTAGTTGGGGCAAAAGTCTCAGGGCTGACTCTCATTGGGCATACATACTTGGATCACTTACTCTTTCCTCACCAGTCAGACTGGGAGATTGGTCAGTGGCAGCCTGAGTGCTGAGAGTTGGGGAGCAGAAGAGACCCAAAGGAAAAACGGAGCTGCCACTGTGGAACATGAGGGCAGTGGGCTTGGGGTGGGCAGAAACTGCAGAAGCACCTGCAGCTGTGACAGCAGAAAGTTAGCAGTACTTGCTTTCTGACCTTCCAGGTGACAACATCCGGGAATTCCTACTGAGCCTCAGGTACTTCCGAATCTTCATCGCCCTGTGGAACGTTTTCATGATGTTCTGCATGATCGTGTAAGTCAGGCCTGCCCGTCTCTTTCATTATCATCCTCTGCAACATTCTCCAGAATGACTCACCTGATGGTCATTCTCTGTCATCTCAGTCTACACTTGTTTTTTAAAAATATATTTTTATTGATATCAGAGAAGAAGGGAGAGGGAGAGAGAGATAGAAACATCAGTGGTGAGAGAGAATCATTGCTCGGCTGCCTCCTGCATGCTCCACACTGGGATCGAGCTGGCAACCTGGGCATGTGCCCTGACCGGGAATCAAACCTCAACCTCCTGGTTCATAGGTCAATGCTCAATCACTGAGCCATGCTGGCTGGGCTCAGTCTACACTTTGGTGTCATGCGTTCTGCTATCAAAATAAGAACTCTCCAAGCTAGAGAGAAAATGGGTTTAAGCTATGTCATTATGGTCCAGGCTGGAGAGTGGATTGAAATGTGGCATTCTCCAAGTCCTGGCTGTGCCTGGTGTGTCACCGGGAGCTGCCAAGAGATGCTTTCCCTGAGCCTGTGGCCTGGTCACCTCTTGCCAGCTCTGCTGTGCTTAGTGTATATCTGGCATCTGTCAAGGTGAAAAATGTGGTTGGACAGCCAGTGTGCTCCTGGGTCCTGCTCCCGCCTGCTGGAACCCAGCAGAAGTGTATATTCAGACTTTGTTTCTGTTTTTGTACACTTAAAGAAGTTTTTGTTTGTTTGTATGCCCTTTTTCGGTTTTCCTTCCAGCCTCAGGCTGTAATTCCAATACTGCTATTAATGAATTGTGAAACTCAGAGCAAACAGACTCAGGTTTCAAACAGAAGAATATGTACTTCTAGGCCAGTGTTGGCGAACCTTTTGAGCTCGGCGTGTCAGCATTTTGAAAAACCCTAACTTAACTCTGGTGCCGTGTCACATATAGAAATTTTTTGATATTTGCAACCATAGTAAAACAAAGACTTATATTTTTGATATTTATTTTATATATTTAAATGCCATTTAACAAAGAAAAATCAACCAAAAAAATGAGTTCGCGTGTCACCTCTGACACGCGTGTCATAGGTTCGCCATCACTCTTCTAGTCCATGCTGGGCCCATCTTGTATATTCCCCCCAAAGAGGAAGAGAATGACTGGTTGAAATGCTGAATTTGAAGTTGCTGGGTCGTCCTTGTCGCTGATGACTGTTTAAGGAGATGTTTCTAGAGCTTAGGCAGGGGTGGGGAACGTCTGGCCCGTGAGCTGGATAAGGCCCCCAAAATCATTTGGTTTGGCCCTGCCAAGGCATTAGCGATGAGTTAATTAAATGTTTGACAAAATATAGCAGACTAATTTTTAAGTTGATAATTTTGTATGGCCCTTGAATTATGTTATAAGTATCCAAATGGCCCTTGGCAGGAAAAAGGTTCCCCACCCCTGACTTAGGGGCTGGAAGATGAGGGGGGTTCACTGAGCCTCTAGGAAAAA